TTCCCTTGAACTCTACACAGCTGAGTTCCCAGTACTGAGATGTCTGATTTTACAGGCCAAGAGATACTACAGTCCTATAATATTTTTCATAGCCCCTTAAAACACTGTAAGTAGGCTTTCACTTTCAAATGGAATACACAGAGTATGGAATGGAATCAAGCAGTAATGACTATCCGATAAATTATGAAGGGATGTGGCACAGAAACTGACATTTTCCACATCATTATTTTAATCACCATGATTTTGAGATTCAAGAGCTTCAAGAGCAGACACTGTGCACGGGGTACATTTGGAAAGCTGGAACTCTCTCATTGGCTTAAAACTCTATCTCTGTTTCTATCTCTGTTCGGTCCCAAGATAAAATTTTCCCAAGATAAATTATGCCTTGATTATGGGTTTGTGTCTCATTGCTCACCACAAACAGGACCATTAGGTTCACACAATGCACACTAATTGCCTGCCACCTAGTTTATTTTATTCTCTGTGATGAATCACAAGTCTTAACAAGACCAGAAATGAAACCTTAGTGTTCAGCTGATACACGTTGAGCTGAGACTTTTGGTACTGTATAGCAAATCAATCTTCTGCCCTCCATGTAAAAGTTGTCATGAACCCAGGCTGGTAGGATACATACTGCATGCACTGCACACAAGCCAATTTTAGGAGGTGTGGGAGTTTCATGTTTGGAAATCGTCTCTCTTGGATTTCCTGTAAGTTTATTTTATTTTACTCTGCCCAAGACTGAGTGCAGGAGCTGCGTGCCACTGAAACGTTATCATTAACCACACTGGCCGTTAGGCAGCCTAGCTGGCTGATTTTTTTTCCACTTGTCTTTACACAGCGTATGGTGAAATCTGCTACTCGGGAAGCAAAGTCTGAGAAGCAAAGCAAAGGAGCAGAGGGCAGGAAGGGCTGACTGGAGAGATCCTATCGTCTCTGCAGCAATTTCAGTTGTGCATTAGAGTCACAAACACACCCAGGAGCACATTCAGTGTGGCATAGTTGTACTCTTCCTGTGGGTCCCGTTGGTGTGAGCTGGGAGACGGGAGAAAGCTCTCAGCTAAAAAGGCCCCATTCAGTTTTAAATTTCTGCCAGATCATGGGGTGAAAGTTGTTGAAAAGCCAGCAGTGACATGTCCCAAAAAGCACAAATTTGAAGTTTCATTTCTGCTGCTTAACCTGTGAACATTGATGCCCTCATCTTAGCTGAACTGCTAGTTTGTTTTACACTTACTGGACTTTGACAAAGAAGTGCCATTTTAATAAGCAGCAGCAGATCAGAGGCTTTCCAGCCACACTGAAGCTGAAGAGGTTAATGCTGGATTTATACCAGGATAACTGACAGAATAATTTGGCTCAGAGGCAGAGATGCCTGCAGGCCAAAGGAAGGCAGAAAGTAAAATAAACAATTAAGAAATGATTAAATGATTTACTTTGTACCTCCTGGCCTTTTAAGATATGAATCATCTATGAAAGCAGAGGACAATTAAAGAGTTTAGGCAAGAAAAAAATAATGAAAACAAGCAAGCTGCCACCAAAACTCCTTTTGCGCATTTCAAATAGAAGAAAATGTTTCCTCAGCCTGAAAAGGGCTCACCAGTGATTAAATCCTTCCCATGTTTTGCACTCACACAGCTTCACTGCAGCAGCAGTTCCTACAGGGCTGCTTACCGACCAGCCATGGTCTATGAGGCTGTGAAGAGCGGCTCATTAGTCCTGTGGGATCTGGGGATCCTCCCTGCAGGGCAGACACGCTCCACAGAGCTGTGGGCACAGTGTGGCGAAGAGGCCACCAACATGCCACTGCTCCCCCCATCGGGGGAGGCTGACACTGGGCACTGCTGCCCCAGGACATCTGTCGATCAGGCTCACAGTTGCTGCAGGCTGGTTTTGGGGAAGAACGGTTGGTTCCAATACACCAGGGGGGACTTGGCAAGTGGCCAGCAAGTAAATTCTGGTCCCAGGTTTGTTTCCTCCCTACAACTGAGATGAAGTCAGATGTATTCTTTCTAAAGATTTTTATTTGAGTTCTAGAGCACTAAGATCAACATACTTCTTTTCATCACACAATTAGAAAAAAACTCTTCCTGCTGCCAGCCCGGTTGTTTTCAAAAGAAGGACCCAGAGCAGGCATCAGGCCGAAAGTGAGATTAAAAGTACCAAATAAACAGCAGAAATACTCCTACAAATCACAAGAATTAAAGCTTGTACGACCATTTATCACTGCATGAAATGGCAAGCCTACCATCAGACACATTGATAAATGGAACACACTTTCCATCCATCTCTTTAATGGCACATTAGTGTCATGGATTTGCCATGCACACCAAAACACTGAATCCTACCTAGGCATTTCTTAATTGCCCAAGAAGATGGTAATTTATGGACTTGGCCATAATGACTGGAACACATTTGTTCAATCAATTTTATACCTTAATTGAAATTTGTGGCTTAACAAGAAAAATCATGAAATTAACTGCTCAGACAGTTATATCTTTAAAACAGAACACAGATGTCAGGTTCTATTAGTGGTCAACTTTCCTGATACATTTTAGGGTACATTTTTTACACTCTATGTCAGATCCTGAGACAAATTCCTAGAAGAAATAACAGGATTTGTGGGAAATCTCAGCCACTGCTGCGATAATTTTCTCCTTCATGTTACAACATCAATATTCTGTTCACATGTGGCATCCGTGCCTGACTATGACTAATTTTATGAGGTTTTTTCAGCATACTCTTGAGAGGAATGCTTACCACATTCCTGTTCACATCTGGAGCTGCAGAAACATGGCATCTTTCCCAGGTATCTCTCACAGCACCCACAACAATCACAATCACAAAACTTTTAAGTTACTGAGCTGCTTTTACAGCAGTAAATGGCTTCAGTTTGTTCTTAAAACAAGGGAGTGAGGACACTCAGATTAATGCAAGAAATGAGGGTTGACCATAGATCTGAACTGGCAACAGTAGCACCTTCAACAAAGAGGATACACATTACGCTAGAGAGCCACTCTCGCATAAAAATTACATGGAAATACAGTTTCCAGAGGCTGCTGAATTAGTACGCAATATCTCCAGAGGCTTGTGACATTCTGCATTGGTGGCTATGGATACTTACCTCTGAGAACTGTAACCTTCCAAAATCGCTTGGTGGGCTTGCGATCTTAAAGACTTTCTTTGGCATCACCCACGTTTCCAAAGTTTCTAGTTTACTGACAGCCAGATTGGTTGCGTGGTGTCTGATTAGGAAGCCTTGGAAACGGTCAGCAAGGAAGTAAAGGTGGACGGAAACTGGATGGCCCATGGGGTAGTATCTGTAAAACAGCACATGCTCATCAGTTACACAAGAGACACATGAAATCTCCATTTACTTGGAGCTAATGGCTTAAGAAGCATTCATTTCAATAGAAAATTCACCACTGTACATTAAGAGACTTCAAATGTGTTCATGACTCATTATCAAATATTCTTAGGCTGTTCTGATTACCCTGAAACATAAAAATGTTACTAAGAATATATGCTCATTTAGAACATACTCTCAGCTCTAAGCTCTTAGGTGATACCTCTGTGTGCCAGAAAACTCCCTTCCCTTACCACCTCTTCTGGGTAAAAAGTGCCACCCAGAGACGTACATTGTTAGGCTGCAGCACTATTTGCTGGGATCAACAACGTTCAAGAAATGTGTCTATGACTGTAAATCAGGCGTCTGCCTTCTTTTTTTTGCCTTCATCGGGGTTAGTCCCTACCAACGCCTGGCCATGGCAGCGCCTGCCTTGCGTGCTGCAGGACAGCAGCTGGCTGGGGACAGCAGAGGGTGCTGCGAGGCTGGGCACGGGCGAGCTGATGCCCTGCTCCATTCCCCGCATCTTCATCTGATCCCCAACCCATTCTGCAAGGGCAGTGCTCTGCAGGGTGGCACTGCAGTGAAAGACACCAGGATCTGCTCCCCATTTTCGGTCTCCTTTATTTTAGGAAATAAACTTCACATTCCTTAAAGACTTGAGGTTGCTTTTGCCGTGGATTTTTTACTTATAATTAAAAATAAACTGAAAAAAGGTCAAAAACCCCTCTCATGGGGAGATTCAGAAGCTTTCAGTTACAGTTCAAATTTAAAGACAGTAGCAATGGTTTCAAATAATTAAACTTTATGGTCAATTGTCTGCTGTAGTCTCAGAAACATCTGTAATGATGTTTGTGTACATATGGATGCATAAATAATTAAAACCATGTTATTCATAGCTCTGAAATATAATATTTTGCTACTTTACAGCACTGACATTAACTGTGAAACAAGTAGGTTTGCAACACACTTAAAACCAACCAGTGTCACACCTTCCCAGTCAAGTCAGCTAAGTCTGAGTCCTCATGCTAGTTATCACACCTCAAGACATAAGCACGGAGAGGAGCTAACCAAGATGGACGTTCCATTACATGAAACCGGCAGCACCCAGAAGGAAGTCTCTAGAGCTTCAGAAATACACATAACAAGACAGGGCACAAACAGGGCCAGCACTGATGGACTGAGCAAAAACACAGCAAAGCTACGCAGCCAATACCAGCAACAATCTGACTCCTGTTCTGAGTACTAAGGCCTCCTGTTTTATATGTGTGGAGCAGCAAATATTTAAAATATCCTTGAAATAGTCTGAGTAAATTGTCTCTTGGCAGCAGTGAGTAAAAATGCCTAGAGATGGAGAGAAATAAATTAAATCTCAATCACACATTAATGTTGCTTCCACTGAAGATGCTGATATGCAATCTAATTTGGTACCAGAGCAGTCTGCAGGGGGCATGGCTTTCTGAGGAGATGAGCTAGCCCTTGTTAGAAAAGTGTGGAAGGCAGCTTCTCATATAAAAGTCTCCCGGGCCGCTGCGGGTGGCAGCATGGGATTGACTCCAAATGTGATCGGAAGCAGTAGAGGCTTTCCTCGCAGTGCCTGCAGCAGTGTGAAATGAGCTGGGGTGGTGACTGCAATATCAGCTAACTTCGTGCTGCTGTTAGCCCTAACAGCAAAGGGAATACTGCTGAGGTGCTCAGCCCGAATATATCCCTGCCACTACTGCGTTAGACACGTGCAAAATCACGAGGGGGAAAGAGGAAGCGTATATATGCATAAACCTAGAAAGATAACACAGTACCAAGAGAGGAGAGATGTGAATCATAAACCTGAGGATTATCCACCTTTCTGCGATTTAAAAAGGACGCTGACTCACAGTGTTTTGAGGGGGCTCAGGGAGGTATGAAAATGAAGCCTCCACTCCATATCACTGTTTGCAATTCCTCCCTGCACTGTTTCGTGAGGCTCCAGCCTACTGTAAAGGCTATGGCTATGCTTTATCCTGGAGACAGCTGCAATCAGCAGTGGATGCCATGGCTTCCCTATCTATAATCTGAGCAAGCTTGAAAAGCACCTTGAGTTCCTGTGCAAGGCAAAGTTCCCCAGAAATGAATTGATTATTGATATAAATCATCACCAGAACACTGGCAAAAGGAATAAGTACAAAAGTAATTGTCAAATTATTTCAGTACTGGTTATGCACAGCTCCCATCCTCTCTGCTGGCTTCACTGTGCAGGACAAATGACTCAGGACTTCTTCAGGTCTGCTTTTATTTCATATAAGGAAGGCACGCTACTAGTGATTATTTCTACCTAATTGTTATTGATCTTCTATTACTTTGCACCGGTAACCTTTACTGGCAAAACTGTAATAGGAATCTGGATCACTTATTGTCACATCTTTCTAAATGGGACATTGCTCAGCACTTCCATGACTAAGTCAGAAGGTCAAGGCGCATTCAGTTCTCTCTCGAGAACACAAAAGGGGCAGAATCCATCTGTCAAAGCACGAATGTCTTCAGTACTTGCTGACTTAGGCTGTATGTGTTTTCTATTAGGATAAAAAAAGGCAGGGTCCAAAAAATACATTCTGAATTAAGAGACTGTAAAGTAAGACTTTAAAAGATGAAACGTCTCTGCTTTTGAATGTAAACAGCTTCAGATGTGTTTGCAGGCAACAGGCATCTATCATGAAAAGAGACTTCTATGCAAGTCTAACTCCAGGAATTCTTCCTTCAAATCCCTTTTAGACTAAATTCTTCTTTGCTATGCTTACAGGCGAAAAAGGAATCTAGAATATAGGGGGGGGGTTCCCTTTAAAGAATAAGGACCTTTATTTGCTATATATATGTATATATTTATACATACATGCATTTTATGTATTTGATGCTAATGGATCCCATCAGTTGCAACACTTTTGACACAGACAGCTGTACCAAGCAGGCAAGCTGAGCTCGAGCAAGTAGTTCTTTGTACTCCGTGTATGCACCCAGGGGAACAAACAAGCAAGGACCATTAACCTGCCTGTGTTCAGATTAATTCTGAAATCCTGTCCTCTGCTTTTGGTAAGCATAATAGAGGTGAACATGACCTCTGCTGCAATCACTTGGAGGGTTTAGGAGCTGTGGGTATAATACACTTGCTGAAATTAATCAAGAAAACGCAGCAGTGGGGGTAGCACTGCCCAACTGGATCCTGTCAGTCTTCATCAGGCTGGAGAGGAGCTCCTTAAAAGTGCAGCAAAGAGGTCACATAATGTCAACCCTGAATAACCAATGCATTATTATGGGCATAAATACTCCTGGAAATAAGTGCTGTACACTTGCAGCTGCCTGGCCCTGTTTGTGACAGTGTGCTCCAGTGAGCACAGCCAAGTAGGAAGAAGTGCTTGGGAGCCCAGTCTGTGTCCCCTGAAACACCCAGAAAAACAGACTCAGACTAACCGGCAGCTGTTGTCTCCAGCAGCATGGAACGATGTCTCAGCTCTCCGCAGGCCCAAGCGGGCAAATGCATGGTACATGGTGAGGGCGACGTCGCTGAGGGTGTGCACGCCATCAGGCTCATCATACACGTTCTCCCAGTACGACCGGAGGCCAGGTGTGCCAGAGGGGTAGTTGCCATACAAGTAGTAGTCCAACTGGCCAATTATCTCTTGATTAACTACAGCTTCAAATTTGCGGGCAAAGAAAGTTGGCCTGGCAGTCTGCTGTGGTGACACAAAAGGAAAAGACACTGGAGTGAGTTCCCATTTTCAGCCATGACACTTTGTCCTAAGCAATGGGTTGGAGTTGAGGGACATGAACTGGTTCTCCCCATGGCAAAGGGGTCTTAAAAGGTGTCTTAAATTTGTCATTAAGAGTGTTGTTAAGATTCAGATAAAAACTATGTGATTACTCAAAGAAAATGTAGGTGTGCCAATCTCTTCATACCAACAGCCCTTGCCACCCGCTGCCTTGCTCTGGAAGGTTCTCCAAGTACCTGAGGGGCAGAGAACCCTCTCTAAACCACTGCTTTAGCATGGAGATGGTGCAGCACTGGCACAAGTTATCAGCGGTCAGGCAGGGAGCAAAGCATCCTGTGGCACAGTGGCTCAGAAGCAGAGCAGAATTTTGCATGTATGGATTTGCTGCTCAGAGGTGGTAAGACAACTCTGAGAGAGGTGTGATCTGTGGCTGAGGTTTCTTAGGTTTGGTCCCATGCAGATTTTCTTGCTCTGCGCTTAACACACTCTTGGGTATATTACTGGTTTATATGGTACTCAACTACCATTAGCTTTTAAAAAGCCTTTTTTCTGCCTTGCTCATATTTGAGCATGGGTTCTGAGATGCTGAGGAGTTCAGAAGTGCCCCACATGGTTGAAAAATTCTTTTGAGGATACTCAGTTTTACTATGAGATGGCGCATGCTGTGGGCTCTCTGATCTCCTCCTCTGCAGCTTGCTTTGTGCCTCCATGGGAAACGTGAGCAAGCCTTCTGGTGCCGTGCGTTCATCTGAGGGTCTCTCTCATCAGGCTAGTGTCAGAAGTTGGCTTTACATCTATTCTAATTTTGAACTTTCCCTTGCAGCTCAGTTTACCTGATTGTTTTCTGAAATGCCATTGTGGGTTGTTTTCCCAGCCTGGAGCAGGTCAGCCTCTGCAGACTGGCAGGAGTTTTTTAAGACTTGCCATTTATTCCATGCTGGAGACTTTCCTGGGATTGGTGTTTGGGGCAGCAGAGCCTCTCTTAGATAATATCTCATTTGCTCTTTTTGTGAGTGCCTGTGTCACTGACTTCAACCGCGCCTGGTAGGCAGCACATTACAATAAAGAAAAGATCTCTGTTTCAGAGCAGTCATCATTTTTGTGCTGTAGGGTAACACATTCCCCATCCCACACAAAGCCTGAACAAACATGCTTTATGCAGGGAACCCCGAGGAGCAGCAGGGACGGAATTGCAAATCTGGTGACCTTGAAACAAGTGGTTGTTCATTCTTAATAGAAGATACACAGGCCAGATACAGTCTTGAGACTGAACGCACCCTCAAGCACAAGGATTTGCTCTCATGTCTGCCTTGAGGAAACTGTGTCACAAAGGAACCAATTAAACTCTTTAATGCAGTCCTGCCAAGCCTGGGTGATTGAAACCTCATAACTCTGGCCCCCAAAACCATGAGGTAAACTTAAATATAATCATGTTGATGAATATAATTACGAAAACTGATTTGCTTTGTGCTGTGTAATCCTCTAGCAGGCACTCTAGTCAATTTATAAGCTTTTTTCAAAGATGAAAAACACTGCTTAACAATGAAAGCCAGGAACTTCATGAAATTAAGAAAGCACCTGAGGTGCACTTTGGAAAAAACCCTTTGCAATAAACTCACAGGAGTTACCAAATAATATTGGTACAGTGAGAGATGTGTTAAGCTTCCCTCCCTTCTAGCACAGCAGGTCTACCAATGCCAAGTAGTCCAAAGAGCTGCTTTGTGACATTAGCATGCAGTCATTAAGTCTCAAGGGCCAAAATACAGGAGAATCAATCTATTATTCTCCTGAAATTAAGATTAGAGCTTCCTCACACCTCTTTCTCCGCCTTGCTTGATGTGGTTAAACCTTCCCATTTCCTGTTGCAGCCATGTGGCCAGGCAGCTCTCCACACCCTAGCAGAGGGCAAAAAGCTTCTTTGCAGGTACCAGAGAAGAGACTGCTTCAGTTACCTGGAATCGGTGGAAGTCTGCTGGTTTGAAGTCATTAGGCGAACAGCCACACCAGTCAACAATGTGCTTGTACTGACACTTGCAACCAAGTTTACGGTTCCAGTTTGTGATACGTAAGTTGTTGTCCACCATGGAGTCACAGTATGGGCTATTTTCCAGAACAGTGTGGAAGAAGGACTGCAAGAAAGACAGAACAGATCAGTACTCAGCAGCTCCTCAGACTTCCATTTTCTCCTTCACTTCAGCCCATGGGCCTGAACCTAATGCAGGTGACTTATCTTTCGAAATGACAGAATTAACAAGCTCTATTGTTCTGCCATGTATGCAAAGCACTCTACATGCATGCATTCCATAGAGCATGAAAAAAAATCACAACACACTATAGACCCAGCCAAACTGTAATAACATACAGTTGAGGTATTGGTACAATTACCTGGCACAGAATAATTGCACTTCTGCAATGGCCAGCTTTGGGCATCGGGAGTCCAAGGGACTCCAGGAAAGGCACCAGTGCCAGCAATTATTTTATTTTTATTTCAGCTGTATGAGCAATTCTAAGAAATTCCCATTACTTCTCTTCTGTAAGTTACTCTCTGGTCTAACAGATTTAGGTCTATTTTCCTGACCAATGTGTTAATGATATATCTCAAGTTGTTTCCTAAGACAATTCCCAAACTTTCACTATCATCCCCATTGCTATGAAAAAAAATACAGTCTCAGATAGCTCTTTTGTGGGTGTGTCTATCTCCAGCACTCCAGAATGCATTGCTAGTGGAATGGCCTTGTTCTGAAATATACAGTTCACCCCAGGCACCAGAAGGACATTCTGCCTCCTGCAATTACATCTGAAATCATAAGTCTCTATTTGCTGACTCAAGGCAGCAAGGAATTCCTATTGGGCTATCCTAATTATATCATCATAATATCAGCTATTACATAAATCATGTGTAATGGGGACTGATATAGCAGGTTAACAGGTCAGTGAAGGCAGGGTGATTTTAAGAAACCAGCTGTGTATCTTGCAAAGAAAACCTTGTAGAAAGAAGCTATGGAATCTGATCAAATTTAGCTCTGCAAGAGATGATTTTTGGAGCAGTGACTTCTCTTTAAAATCAGCAATAGTAAGACCTATAAATAACCAGCATAACATTAGTATGGCTGGCCCCCAAATAATCCCCCTACCCTTTTTAATGTTAAATGACAGCTCAGTGAATATGGATTTTATGCTTGAACTGTTTGGTTAAACCCATAAAGGCATCCATTTTCATTCAAGCGAGAGGAAAAAAAAAAAACCAAAACCTACCCAATTACCCATTGCCCTGTGTCCTTTTTTAATGATACAGAAATTTCTCCTAGATAATGGATTAAAAGGTTATCAGAGTTGAGAGAAAAGGTGATTTTTAAAAGAAATGGGATTAAAGCAAGATTATTCAACAAGTGTGTGGAATAATAAACCCCTATCAAAAGATGACAATCGCTGCATTCCACTGCGAGCTAGTAAACCTAGATTTGCAAGATTGGTCTCATCAATCCCCCAAAATGTTCAGGGGCCACTAGCAAGGAAGGAAGTTATTGTTTTAAAGACAGTCATCAGGTCTTTCTTGGGATGGCTGCATGCTACACACCCTGGGAGCAGAGCCTGACAAGCCAGAGGAGCAATGTACCTGCTGAGGCAGGTGTAGCACAGCCTGAAAACCCGCCAGGCTCTGTGCTCTATTTGTGGATAACGCACATCTCCCTGACATACTGCCGCATGCTAGTTGAAAACCAATCCTGGTGTGCACTTCCCTTCTGCATCACTTGTAGCCAGAGCGATTCCTGAGTGATCTAAATGATTTGTGACTATGCCTTCTAGCTGAGTTTAGAATGGAACAATAAACCTTTGTTTGTAGGGTTTTTATTTTTAAAGAAAAGGTCTGGATAATAGTGAGGAAAGCTACTTATGAAGGCAATTTGCCATCTCTAATAGCCTTCAAAGGCTTTGTGGAGGAACAATTTGCAAGCAAAGGGCAGCGGGATTTTTGGTTGTTCAGTAATAGATTAATAGGCTTAAAAGTATAAAACAAAGCCACTCCTTGCAAAAAAGTCCCACAAACAAACAAAGCAACTAAACAACAGCAAAAGTTGTTCTAACACTAATGGACTACTCCTCATGGGAGTAAAATTCTCATTACCCACTGTGGGATGACCCAAAGCCCACCGAAATCAGATGAAAGCCCCTCTGGCTTTGGTGATCTTTCGGACAAGCACAAACGTTGCAGTTTGGAACACAGAGAGAGATTGCTTTGAA